TGGGTGCTGGCAGGGATTGTAGCTTTTCTCATGGTGGAAAAATTTGTAAGGATAATGAAAGGGGGGCATGGTCACAGCCATAGTCATTCTTCCCCTGCACCAGAAAAGGAATCCCCTGAGGAAGATGAAGACAAAAAAGAGGAGGAAGAGACAAAGGAGGAAGACTCCAAACAGGGATCAAGTGATAAAGAGGAAGAAAAGGAGGAAACGTCAACAGAACTACGACAGAGGAAAAAAGAAAAAGACAATGGGGATAAAGAGGATGAAGATGATAGAGAAAAGAAAGTAGAAGAAGAAGAAAGGGGTGCTACAGGTTTGTTATTTATGGTGCATGTGTTACATAGATATGTCATTTAATAAAACAGTCCAGTAGTGCTTGGAGAGAGAAAGAGGGAGAGAAACTACTAAAATTAATAATTTGTTTAAAGAGTTACAACAAGAACCTTTTTGGGCACACAGAAAGAAGTCATTAATTAAACCACCTGTTATATATATATTACAGAAGCACCAGAAGAGGATATAAAAGTTGCAGGCTACTTGAATCTTGCAGCCGATTTTGCTCACAATTTCACAGATGGTCTTGCCATAGGTGCCTCTTTTCTGGTAGGCCAGAATGTTGGTAGGTATCCTTGCATCTGCCCTTAGAGGTCAGCCAAGTAGGAAGGGGGGTGGAGAACTACACTGACACTTCTTTTGGATGGATTAATTTCTTAACTTGGGGATATATCCACTTTTATCAGTTAAGAGAGACAAACTTATATTGTCAACCGAAAAGATTACAGTTGTCTTGCAAACCAACCCAAGCATTTGATTAAAACTCTGAGGGAATTTCTAAAAGTGATTATTTCCTTTCCCTCATGTTGACCCACAATTTTATTATTATTTTTTTAAATTTCAGTGCTGTTTTATTCTCTGCCTTTTGTCATTTTTTACTATTTTAACTACAGCAGTGACTTTATGTCTGTTATCATTCATCTTTCAGGTATTATTACCACAATAACCATATTTCTGCATGAGATACCACATGAGATTGGAGACTTTGCTATCCTAGTGCAGTCTGGTTGTACAAAGAGAAAAGTAGGTTTTTAAATGTGTTATTTTAATCGGCACTATTTAATGCCCTAAGACTTCACAGCTGAATTCTCATCAAAATACTTTTAATACAAAAACTTCTAATTTGTTAAAGCTTTATTGTTTATCTATTTTTAGTGTATTAATGATTTTGAAAATGGAGTTTGGTTTCGTCAAATTTGATTAAAACTATGAGAAAGTAATTACTTGTAATTTTGCATTTTGTTTTTTATCAATTTTTTAAAGGAAAAAATATACTCTAATGAATTATTTCAAAATGACTCTAGATGTATTTATACAATCATTTCATTTTCAGTTTGATAATTTTCTTTATTTATCAGTTTTTCAGAGGGGCTTTTGCCTTAAATTTCTCCATTAATACTCAGTACATTTTTTTTTTCTTTATAGGCTATGCTTCTCCAATTCTCCACAGCTATAGGCGCTATGCTGGGAACACTATGTAGTCTAATGGCGGAGGGTGCAGGCGACTACGCCACCTCGTGGATCCTCCCTTTTACTGCTGGGGGCTTCATATACATTGCCACGGTGTCCGTGATACCAGAGCTACTGGAGGACACAAAGTTTTGGCAATCTGTGAAAGAAATCATAGCCTTACTGACAGGTGTCTACATGATGGTGTTGATAGCCCAATACGAATAAAGTGCTAGAGTACTAGTATTCTGTGTTCTTTAATAATGTGATGATTCTGATGTTATCATTATATTGAGCACTAAAAACGTGCAAGGATCTATATAGTATTGTCAGGTGTTGATATTTTGTAGTTTTTTTAAAGTACAGATATTGATATTCAATTATTATTATTATTATTATTATTATCATTATTATTACCAATTTTTAAGTTAAGTAGAACAATAGGAAGAAAAAATTAGGTATTCAGTGACGTGTAGGTCAGTGGATTTTGTAAATGTCTTTTTTTTTTTTTTTTGGCATTTGCCTGAGGACAGTTGGTAAAACATTTGTTGCTGAATTCAGAAATATGCAGTGTTGGTCACTTCCCACCTTGTTAATAAAACTCTGACCTTGAGGAATTTAAAGAAATCCATATCAGATATTGTTTTACTTTCTTTGTTATAAAAAGTGAAAACATCCAGATTGATTGAAGCAGGTGTTGAATATGATTTCAAATGTATAAGGGTAATAATCTGAACAAGGGTTAGTGTACAAGTCTTATGTTATGTTGAATTTTTCTCAGTGGATCTACTGAAAGTGTGTAGAAATGTATTGGCATCATAATTGTATGATGTGACCAGTTGATAACTGACATCATTCCACATCGAGCAAAATGCAGAGACATGGGGCTAATTTTTCATCTTTATCACAACCAAGGTGGCATTTTAGATTTGCCATTTTACAAAGCGATGGGTCTGAGATTAAATTAGGGTCCAGCTACACAAAGGCTTGAGACAAAATCTAGATATGTACCCATTTGGTGAAGCCAATATTTTCAGCACTTATCTAAAATTTGATCATAGATAAAATATATCAAGTATTGTGAGTGCCTGTTCAGTTTACAATTTGAGATGTTTTTTTAAAATTTTTGTCAAAGTTTAATTATGAATGGAGGTAGATTCCTATGTAAATGAGACCTAGGATGTTCAATTTATAATACAAGTTGATACAGCTGACATTTTTTTTTTTTTTTGTTATTTTTAAAGGTTCAGCATTAAAAGATAAGCAGAAGCTCATTTCGTAGCGTGTCTACCGTTGGTATTGGAATGCTGACAATTAGTGGTAGGCACATACTAATATGAAAAGATTCACTCAATTTAGTGTTATGATACTAAATTAGGATACTTTTTTGATGCACAGTAAGTCTAAGTATTTGTGGTACTGGGGACGTTTTGCTGTATATGCCACAGATAAGATTAAGAGGTTTATATTTTTTACAATTTGTCATGAACGTTGTACTCATGACCATTTTCACCAAAAAAGCAAAGCATGATAGGTTGTCAATATAAGATTAACAAAACACTGTCCAATATTGTTTATAAAAAATAGTTTATTTATACATCAGCCAAAGGCAAAGAATAATAAATGCATTTCATCCATTGACCATTTGTTTATTTCCAGCTTGAAATTAACTTTTAACTATATAATTTCATTGAAATTATAATTCAAAAGCTTCAAATATTTCCTTAGTGACTTGTGCTTTCAATAACTTCAAACAGACCTTTTCCCAAAATGAATCCATGCTTGGACTTGTATAATGAGCCAAATAATAAAGTACGTAGGTAAGAAGAGTCACTTCTTCTCACTGCAAATGTAATATTTTCTATTCCAAAGTTTTTTTACTGGAAAAAAGATGATCTGTGTGTACTTGGTAAGAGAAGTTTGCTGTTGTCATGGAAACGTGAGCCTGACGAACCTTACTTCTGTCATAAGAATTCACCCTTTTTAACATCAATATCTGACAGTCAAATATCTGTGTTCTTGTTGCCTTACAGATTTTTCAGTAAAGCTGCAACCAAAGTGTGGCAAATTCTCTTGCTGCTTCTAAATTTTCTTGTTTTTTTTTTTTTTTTTTTTTTTTTTTTTTTTGCAAATATAAAATAATTTATCCTTATTAAAAAATATCCTCTTCTGGGTCATAAGAAACCAATTGTCTTTTATCTTTATGAAATCCTTTCTGGGAATTGTTGGCAGCTGAAATGAATGAAAAAAGAAAATTTCTTCTAAAACTTTTCACAGATTCTATTTCACAGATTGTAATATGCCATTTCCTCTATCAGAATCTACTGAGAAAGACAGGAGATGGGTCTTAAATCCACGTTCAACTTGTAAGGTATTCCAATAATGTCTAGTTTGTGTTTGTACACGACAAAGAATTGTTAACTGTAACTGACCATCTACATTAAAGCTAACTGTCCACAAACAAAATTATGTAATAGATACACCATGAGTCGGGGAGAATCAGATGTATGTGATATACAGGAGTGTGAAGCACCAGTAGGTGTCACATACACCTTGTTGACAGGTGGTGTACCTGACATATACTACACCAGATGTCAAGATCAAAAGACCCTGGCATGGCAAATCTTGCATTCATGCATGACGTGCTTATATTCATAAAACTCCACCTCTGGACTTTCACTTCTCCACATCCCCTGTGATATAAGCACTGACCATCATGGTGGTGCTTCTCACCTATTGTCGTCCATGTGGCGTTACTCGGGTCAGCAATTTGTTCAAAAGTGGGTTGTCGTCTGGCCAGGGACACTCTGAGCTGGATCTGCTGCACCATGGTGTTGTTCATATGAGTGATGGCCTCCTCTGCAGACTCCATCTTCTCAAATGTCACAAAACCACAACTGAAAGGTAATAATTTATATTTAATATCTCTGGGATCACCATGGTTATTTTTTATAATGCTCCACATCTGGGTATATTCATAATTGTCTTTACAGAATAAACTAGTATGTTATCAAACTACACCATTGACACTAGTGCCATCCCAAAATGCCAGTAAAAATTGAAGCACAGCATTCTGCAAGATAAATTTGGTCAATTTGTTCAGTTACTGATCCTGTTCCTGTTTTGGGTCAGAAAATTCATGGGAAAACTTGGTTCATGGCAGTTTTGGCATAAACTGTGTTATGGCTTAATGACATTGTGAATATTATTGTAAGGCACAAATAAAACTTATTTTATAAGATGCTTTTAATATGTCAAATTAATGATTTTGACTCAGGGGGATTTATTTGAGATTTACTTGATGTGACCCCACCTTTTTCCAACAAAAGTTTCAACTCGACAATAGATAATCTACCAGTTTTACTTACTCCTATCACAAGTGCAAACAGCTCTTCATATTAACTTTACACGATTTTACGCCGACTGCTCCTGAATAATCGGTTGCCTTTAAAGGATATGGATGCAATATTGAAGTTACTCACTTCTTTTCAACTTCCATGTTAATATTGACCACTGTGCCAAAGTTTGCAAAAGCTTTCTTCAGCATCTCCTCAGTGATTCCCTGGCCATACACATAAATAGTGTTGCCTTTCTTAGGATATTCACGGTCCCTGTCTCTCTCTGGACGATCTCCTCGGTCCCTTCTAGATTCTCTGTCATGCCCTGAAAAGGAGACAAAAAATGTTAAAATATCTACATGGGCAAATTTGAATTTTGAAAATTTCAAATATTGATTGAAAATATCTGTATCCATTCTGTTCCATCCACATGCAGAGATACAGAAGCACTGTGGAGGTATTTTCAAAATCTGACATCTACCTGAAAGTAGGTCCTATTTTGTGTGTGTGTGTGTGTATATATAAGTGTGTTTGTGTGTGTGTGCATGTGTGTATGTATGTGTGTACACATATAAAATATTTTGTTGTTAGCTTACTTCCATGTTCTTTATCTGACGAACTCACAAAACTTTCATACAGGCCTTTCACTTTGGGCTTGGAAGGCTGTAAAATCCAAGATGAAGAGAAACATATAGTCATTGAGAAGAAACATAATACAAATACGATCTTCATTCCAAATGGAACAAGATGGTATGTTCATTATTTCAGAGATAAAGTAAAGTTTATAAAAATCTTATTATTGCGGCTTCAACAAGGGGTCACTCTTCAGAAAAATGTACTAGCATATGCATATAACATCCAAGACAACTTCCTTCTACATTCCTTTTATGATAACTGATAATCTCTACCACATTTCTTATTATTTACTAATACATTCTATTTCAAGGGAAATCTTTTAATAAAATCAGTTAATCACTTGCCTCTGGCTCTTCTGGCGGAGTGGGAGAAAATGGTTGGAAATTGTAAGATAAACTGAGTTTTTCAGGATCCTGCAACAATATGAAATGTTCACATTTAGTTCATGAAACAACAAAGGAAGTATTGAAATATGCCAACTGCAACTGTAGACTCATGGGAGAACTACGAAATTCAACATAATTTAAATGATAAAATTTATAAAAAATATTTCAGCTATTCCAATATTTAAAGATTCTTATCACCATATACCAAGATAAAATTTATAAACCACTTTGTCATTTAATATCAATATGGCATTATTTTGTAGTTTTAATAAACAACAAAATTTAGGTAAAAGATTTAATATGTATTTAAAAATGACAGAAGATAATTTCTTGCCTTTAACTTCTTTTCCAAATTCCTAGACTTCTTGAAGCTATGTTTATCTTTGTATCCTGGTCCTAGTTTAATAGCCTTAAATGAGTCAAATTAAATAAAATGAAGCAATCAATATCGGTGTTAGGAGATTCTGGGGAACCTGTGAACCCTAGAGAGAATAAACTACAAGTTCAAATAAATTATTTTAAAATAATGATCATCCTTTTTTTGAAAATATTTTTGAAAAATTCTAAACCCAGTTTTTAAATATGGGAAGTAAAGTTTCAGCAAATGAAAACCTTAATCCATAAATCAAAATGAGGATCTTTTTAATCAGACATGTTGTGAGCTGATAGCTGCCTAATGCAATTAGAAATAGCAAAATCAACTTACTCCAGATTTCAGAAGTTTTTTAGCTTGCTCTTTGGCATCTACTGCTGATGCTTCAGATTGTTCTAAAACAACAGAGAAAAACAGCATGTTACATATATCTTGAACTTCTGTAATATAATACTATCTTTAGCCAATCAGAGTCTCTGAATGTAATGAGAAGCAGTATAAGAGCAGAACATGAACTAGACAATCACTCAGAGAGCACAGACTACCGCCAAAGCAGCTCATGTCTAATTCTCAATTATCCCATGGCTGGCACTTCAAACAATAGATTAACAGCACTTGTATTCCACTTATATAGCCTGATTTCAACAATATACCAACTTCTTTTGAGAGATTCTGCCTGAGGGACTGGTGCCTCTGCCTTTGGTGCTTTTAGAGCCTGCAATACCTTTTTCTGCAAAAGAAAAAATTCAGAATGAGTCAGCACTGCCATAAATCATACATCAGTAACTTTTTTATTACTGCATACAGTAATAACAAAAATTTACCCATATATACCAAATATCACATTATAATCAGATCCGTTCTTGACATACATTTTCAAATAAAATGAATAAAACTAAATAAGAAAAAATAAATTGCACTGAAGAAGTTGATCTAAAACAACAGTTCAGCAAAGGTCTTTCTTAGGTAAGTTGTAGAGTCTATAAAAACTGAATGACAGTTGAATAACAAACAGAGATATCTATTACTGATGGGATTGTGTCGTTTTCTGAGCATACTTCTAGTTATTTAAGTGTAGTGGTAATGTAAATATTAGTTTTTTACGATGAGTGTATTCTAATCCAAAGCTAGATAAGAATAAATGTAAGTGAGATCTGTGGTGAACACAAACCTTCCTCCTCAACTTAGCATATTTCTTCTGCAGTAATTCTTCCTCCTCAGTAAGTGCCGCAGGAATGTTTACGTGCACCATGTTTATTTCACTGAAGGTCCCATATATTTACAAAGTTAGCCATTTGTCTAATATTAGTTTCGCACAAATAAAATCTACATTTTATCCAATTAGATAATTATTTAAAGTAATAAACGCATGTTATTCAATAAAATTTTAATATATGTGATTAAAATGGCTTGTTTTGTACATATAAATGTTTTGAAACTATTAACTATTTTTAATTTAACCTCTGCTTTGGCTCTTTTGGCAGTGAAGATTTGATTTCTTTAGTATTAGTGATAAACACAGGCACACGTGCCAAGCCTTCGAAGGTAATGTTAATGTGTAAAAATAGACTTCATGGAATGTGTACATTTAACAGTGTTGTTTTACGATTACATACATAAATATGTTGTAAAGAGGGGGAGGAAGGGAAAGGGATACACACTTGAACTTGGCCTGCCTCGGGTTTCGACATTACTATACAATTAAGTGATGTGCATGTGTAACATGAAAGGTTGAAAACTGAGGCAAGGACTGGCTTTTTAGAACGACAGAATGGGAAATAATACGTTTTTTTTGTTTTGTTTTGTCTCATACATGTAATCATCATCATCTTTCGCCCTTGGGTGGAAAGACAGTATCAACATGTTCAGATTAAAGTTGTTTCAGTCTCATTATTCCAAAGATCTGATTTGGTTGCAGATCAATTTCATCCTTGATGGTGACTGAGAGGGTGGCATTTTGTCTGCTTCTGTTACTGTTAGCCTTTCCACCAGATTGTGTCCACAATTAAAGAGTGGAGACGGGTTGGTCTAATGTGCAGGCACAGTACATGCATGCTAAATCAAAGAACTGATGACTAACCAATGGAAAAAAATGTTCATCTCTAAAGTGATGCAGTAGTCACTGAGTAGTAAAGTTCAGGAGTTCAAGTATAACATACCAAGTTGGATATCATAATGACTAGACTAGCTGGATTCTAGACTGGCCCACAGAGCTATTTCTATTTATTTTTCAGTCCACTATGAAGTTTGCAGTGCAAGCCACCTCCAGCACCAGCAGTGCCAGAGCAGGTGTCTTGACTGAGCTGGGGAGACTGGCTGACAGGGAAATACACACACCTGCCTGTCTCCTGTACACCACCAGTGGTATGTCAGAATATACAACCACTTTCCATTTATTTTTATTGTTGTTATAATTAATTCACAGTTGTTATTATTAATGTTTTCTTCTTCTTTGCCATCACATGTGCACTTTCAGAGATAACACTACATGTATATGTGGAAATCCATTTGACTTCAAACTTACAGAACCAGTAAATACTTTTGATATGCTTTTGTGATACTTACAGTTGCAACACAGTAATACATGTGAAAATTCTTATATAGAACTGTTGGAGGCTAACTATGAGACTAGCACTTGCATAAAACAGAATTTGAATTATTTTTCAATAAGTACCACATCAAATAGTTTACAAATTAACACTTGTATTTCAGCACAGACCTATAGAGATATAATTAAGTTGTTATTTTATTTGATCACTTTTTGAGCACATGGATAAATTTACAAATGCATGTACAGTAGTGCTGAAAGACAATAATCAAATGTACGTATACATATTTTTACTTGTCCGTAAAGCATTTTGCAGAGTTTTACCTGGTAAGTAAATATGTCTTTTCACATAAACACATTTTTCTCCAGTTTGGACCCTTGATAAAATTCTCTTGATTTTGTGATATACACTATTCACAGGCAGTGCCCCTTACCTGACACATAGTTTGCTGGCCCAGTATTTGAAAGGAGCTCCCCTTGTTGCACATCTGCCTATTGGATTTGCGTAAGTGTTATATGATTATCTTTTTCATGAATGAATGTAATAATTTGAGAGGAAGGGGGTTCATGTTGATGACAAAAATAAGAGACATTGGAGAGAAAATGGGATCATATAGACAAATATTAAAACTGACTGGAACATAGTTAGGTTATGATTGATACACAGTTTTAAGTTCATTGACATTAGAGATGTTTCATTACTGTGTGGGAGCAACATGCAGTTGGATCTCTAAGACTGACTATACACATGATATTAAGAAAAATTCAAAATTGTCTTTAGTAAGGTAAATTGAATTTTTTTTTACACATTTTTAAGGGCAGAGCATCAGGAGAGTTTAGAGGCCTTTGGAAAAGGCATGGGCAAGTATGCTGTCATGGAGGTACGCACTTTCTTATAAATGATTGCATTTTGTTATAAGACTGAGACTGTTATAAATTTGAATTATTTCAAAAAATGATAATACTATAAAAGTCTTTGTTCTTGGCTTATTCTTCACTGAATTCCGTTTGTATAATGTGAATTTTAAAATTATAAATTTAGATAAAAATGATATAGTAATTGGAATAAATAATGAAACTCCAACTGAACATTTCAGAATCGGCTAATATTTTCCACATTCCACGATTCTGCTGAAGGATTTCCGACTGGGTTTAATGACAAGAACGGAGCCTCAGTGTGGTCCAGAGGGGGGAAGATTAAGGTATGGACGTCATCTCAGGGTCATATTAGATTTTTTTCTTGAAAGTTAAACAGGCTGTGACATTAGCCACTTGTATTAGGCAATTTATTGTGAGATTAACATTGATCTAGTTGAAAAAAATCAGTATTCAGTGTTGATAGAATAAGTCCAGTTGGACGAGTGGAAATTTAGTGATTGCTGATTATTTTTCCATAAGTACTTAAAAGTTCTCTTTACACTAGTTATTTGGATTCAGAGTTGTAGAATTTGTAGGCATACATGTTAGTCCAAGTAACTAGAGCGCTGAGAAGTTGAAGGTGCAGACTAATTTTCTTAAGTGACAAAAGTGGTCAAATTATTCTAAGATAAATGTAATTTAATGTCTTACACTTACGACAAACAAATATGTCACATTTTAAATTTTGAATTTACACAACATTCATTGTTATTGTCTATTGAACATTTTGATGCTAGTGTTGAGAAGACGTAGAAGTTAACATTTCATGCTTTTACTTCTCAATGTTTCAGCTTGATGTAGAGCGTTTCATAAAGCTGCAAGAGGCTATACGACCAGACTGGTACCAACCACTCTGTGATAGTGATACAGACAGGAATTCTTCCAAGAAAAGATTACAAAAAGCTGTAGACAGAACATTACATTTTCTTGACTCATGTATAGAAAAACATAGTGCATCTCAGGTCAGAGAAAACTTTTATTGATCAGTTTACTCATGTTTTCATGTCAGAATATTAAAACATATCAAATACATTATAGTTTTAAATTAGACAAATATCCAAAAATTGGAAGAAATGTACACTGCATATGTGATTCCATTGCTTAATGATAATTTGATACAATATGCATAAATATTCAATCCATTATTTTCAATCTTAAATTAGGTTCTAAAAAGTAGTGCAATATTTGGTGTGATAGAAGGTGGATATGATGTTAATGAAAGAATCAGAAGTGCCAAACAAACGTGTCTCAGGCCAGTAGAAGGTAACATTGACTTTTGGATATAAATTTGGTGTGCAGTAGTGTGGTGCTCTAGGCCTGGGGGTGGGAGGGGGGTATTTATGGCAGATTTTTAATTTTGAAGAATTCTGAAATCAGTTAGGGGAGGGGGGAGGTAATTTTTTATTTGGAATAATACAATTTTATTTATTTATTTATTTATTTGGATTTTAGGAAGTTCTTTTTTCTTTATTTAACTTTACACCTAAAATGGATAAATATTATATAATGTGCTAGAAAGCTGTAGTGCTTAGTATAGTGCAGTGAAAATAAGTAGTAAGTTCAGTCAATGGGTGTAAAATTTATTACAGAAATATTATTAGTTGATTAATACATCAGGTATTATCTGTAGCAGTTACTGTAATAATTTGTAATACGTTGTAACACACAGGGTTTATACTGGATGGTTTTCACAGATTTGGGCCAGAGATGGAACAGTTTCAGATCATGGATATAGAGGCAGTACTGAAGGATACAACAGTAAGGGGAGATACTAGATTTTTTTAAATTATCATATTGGTGGTTACAGTTCACATAGAGTGCATGAAAATAGACTAAATGATTATTATCATTGAAAATTATTTTCACTCAATATTTTGAGCATGTCTTTCAGAAATTATGATAATATACTACTGAATACTATTATTATTATTATTATTATTATTATTATTATTATTATTGATTTATTGTAGTATTGAGTTTTGCTTCTTATCACTAGTCTAAAAGTAGTCATCATTTTAGATATTTCATATTGATTTAAAATGCAGGAAATTCATAATGATAAAAACAGTAATTAAAAAAGCATGAATTTATTTCCAGGCAGTCCTTCCAGACCACAAGGTACGTTACCTGCCTGGAATATGGAGTCCACAGGCTATAATAAAAGCAGTGCAGTGCGGGATAGATTTATTTGACAGCACGTATCCTTGACATTGCTTTATACCCTCGGTATTATATAGAACTTTTTATCATTGTTTCATATAAATGTTTTGTAAAATAAGATAAAAGTTGTGTCCTTGACTGGTATCTTCAGCTATCCTTACTTACTCACAGAGAGAGGGTGTGCTCTTGTGTTTCCCTTCAAGGTTTCACCTGGTCTCACTGATGAAAATATTTGGAACAATGAAGCCTCATATCACATTGACTTGAATGATAAAAGGTAATGTTTAAGTATGGTGTATTTTTATTATTTTTATTATTATTGTTACCTTTTTGGTAATTAATGTTGTTTCATAACATAATATAAGAGTGAGTATATACACACACAGACTTTTTCATATTTATTTAAATGTATTTGTAAAACATTGCATGTCGACTTCTTTATTTTGATTTGGCATAATGTTTATATCTATGTGTGCATTTTTTTTTCAGATATTTTGATGACTTCACACCACTTTTAAAAGGTTGTGAATGTTACACCTGCCAGAATTACACCAAGGCCTACTTAAACCACCTGTGCAACACTGGGGAACTTCTCAGAGGAGTGCTGCTCATGATGTAAGTATGGAGAAAGAGAGAGAGAGAGAGAGAGAGAGAGAGAGAGAGTACTCCACCTGGCCCCAAAGATTTTTTTCTCTGAATATTCACAGATACTTCACTGGCTAATTTTGTGCACATTTCTGTACTGTACATCTGGCCAGAATTTTTGCCGGGATTGACATCATCTCACAACTAGCCTCTGGTAAAGAGAGGGAAGAAAAAGAAGGGCTTTTTGAACTTGTCAGCATTTTCTTCTGAGCCTTTTTCCCATCAATTTGTGATAATCCTGGTGGCAAAACTTCAGTGTCAGTAATAAGGGGACCACAAATACAAGTATGAATATTTAAGTTCTAATGGTATGCATGAAAAGGCGTTAATTTATCTGTATCTGCTGGGTCTACAGTAATTATGTATTAAATATTGTTTGACTATTTTTTATTTTCTTTACAGACACAACTTCCACCATTTTTTCTCATTCTTTGAGACCCTGAGGAAAAGCACAGAAGAAAACAAACTGGAAACTTTCAGGAAATTGGTTGAAAGAACTGAAGTGACAAAACCGTCTTGATAGTACAGCTTGTTGTATTTTCTTTTCTTTGCGTGAAGGACTGCCTGTAGGCTACGACTGTAAACATTTATCCTGTAAGATTTTGGAGCTCATTCCGTACATATATGAAAAGAATGGATATAGCGCAAAAAATGAATAAAAACGGGGTGCGCAGTAGAAAGTATTTTTTAAATAAATGCATCTGTATACATATGATCAGTTGAATAAAACACTGCGCATAGAATTATGCTTCTTTTTTTATTCCTTTGTTTTTCCACGATTTTTCATATTTTTTTTCGTAATTTACTTCACTGTACGTTTCTCTTATTTGTGCCATGCACATACATTTCAATTATGATGGTGAAACCAGCGTTTTAGTGGATAATGGTTCACCATAGAAGCTCAGAGATAATTTGTTGTATCGTATACCACGTAGAAGAAATGCCCCCATTCGTGCACTACCCACCCTTTTCATTATTTTCAATAAAAAGGCTGATACCTCATAAAGTAGGTCATCTCTTTGTTACATCGTAAACAGAAACGGATAACCCGTAGAAAATGGCGTCTGTTAAAGGAAGTAAGACTTCATCTAAAGGAAACTCAGTTTTATTGAAGAACAGAGTGTTCTTAACCAAAAACTTGCACGCTGACGAGGTCATAGAGCTCTTGCTCCAGGAAAGGAAACTTGCCCGTTCTGAATATGACGACATAGTTGGTCAGACTACGCGCGAGAATAAGGTGAAGAAGTTGTTAGATATACTTGGAACGAAGGACCATAGCGCTTATAACGTTTTTAGAAAGGGGCTGGAAGAGGGCGAATGTGACCAGCGCTTTATTATCGAGAAACTGGACAAAGCTGTGAGCCAGACGGCTGAACGTCGGCTAAAAGGTGATAAAAGAGTCTACATTGTAGCTTTTTAACGTGATGCATACGTCACAACCATATCTATAGCTTATCCTATTACTGTTTAGTTCACTCTCGAGAGTTTGATTTTCTAATGATCCCTCTTTCCCTATATCTCTATTTTTAATGAGCTTGTTTCTTGTGAATGAATTGGCCGTGTTACAATATGCACATCGAGTATAGTGACAGCACATACATGTATATATATATATAGGTAAAAGTTATGACAATCGCGAAGACGTAGGCCTACTTTCTAGCTGTTCGTATTGTGTATTCCCTAAATGTGTATTCTCAGGTGAGTCTATTCCTCGCCTTAAGCCTGGGTGTCATTAAGAGTCACATTAAGTGACATTAAGAGTCTGCTAAAGCGATGGACTTGTGATAATGAATGTTGGTCGTATGCTTATTGTTTATCTTTAAATACTAAATGTTTTTGTTTTTTTTTACAACATAGTAATATTCCTGGGGGCGACTGAAAGCGGAAAGACTAGTCTCTTAGACAGATACGTAGATGACAAGTTTCTAGCAAAGACCGCTCCAACGCTAGGGCCAGATTACCGAATTAAAACTGTGAATTCTGAAGATTTTGATGAATCTGTGAAGCTACAACTTTGGGACTGTCCTGGAAAGGGGACGTATATTTCAATGTCCCGCACGTGAGTAAAATTTCGTATTCTCGTCCGTTGTCGCGCACACGCGCACGACGTTGTTATATATTGTCTGTATATGATTGAGCAATTTTTCTGCATGGTGTACAAGTTGTAGCTCCAATTCTGTACAAACAACGATACTTCTTTAATACATTAATATAAGATAATTGCAAACAATTGCCTTTGGTCATTTATGCCGCCTTAGATCTAAGAGAAAATACCTACAGAATGGATCAAATCTCTGCCAGAAGACAATTTATTGATTGTAACAAATTTTGGCCGCTCGCTTTGTCTTTTTGCGTTTTGAGTTATCAAAGTTGTAGTGTGGTTCACATAAACAAATGCGCAAATAAACATATTAGACCTATCCATCAAATTTTTTTCTCTCCATTTAATTTTCTCACAGCACTGATTATTTTTTATAATTACAGATATTACCGCGCTGTGGATGCAGTTATTTTGGTTTACGACGTAACAAGAAAAAAGACGTTTGAAGAAGTTCGGCACTTTTTACAAGACTTCTACCAGAACAGTCGAGGTTGCGACGATGCAGTGATAATGTTGATTGGCAACAAACAAGATCTGGTCCTAGAGGATAATAGAAATAAGCGCGAGGTGGAACCCATCGAGGCCTCAGAATTCGCCAGTAAGCGTCCATGAGTCAGATGCGTCAACTTAAAATAAAGATACTAATTAATTGTTTAATTGAATATAGTTTAGCGTAAGAGAACTGTCTTTTTATCGATAATAAATCGTACATATTTAAAGGAAACTCCATCATATTGTCATATTAATATCCATTTGATAACACTCTATATTCTGGATGAAGAATGTGTCCCCCCCCCC